TAGTATGCTCGAAAATGTATTATATTATTACTTTTAAATAGTTATATTTAAATAATAATTGAATATTATATATTTTAATAAATATAAGAAATAAATGATGGAATCGAATCAAGTTATATTAATGTATATATATTGTTGGAATCGAATCAATTTTACAAATGTAATCAGCTGTCTTTATGAAACTAAATAATTTTAGAAAATTAAATTAGGTAGTCAAATCAACGAAATTCAACCGTTAATTTTATATTATTAAATTTATTAGCCGTATAAAATTGAAATGTAGAAATATCTAAAGAATGAGGGAAGAGAAAATGTATTATTTAAAGATAACTATTCAATATTTTATAAGCAATATTTATGAATCATTCAGAGTAATAAATGTTAAAAAAATATATAATTTCAGTAATATAATTAAAAACAATAAAATACATTGATTTTTGTATTAAAAGAAAAAGAAAAGAAAATTGAAATAATTTTTAATGAAACAATTATCTGAAATAATTGAAAAATAATGCTATCATAGTTATATTTTTTCACACAGGATGGCGCCCTTATTCCGATTAAGCATGAGCATGGGGTCGACACCTTCGCACGCTACTAAATATTCCTCATTTGGCAAGAGTCTTGTGTTCGTAAGTATCACAGTCAAGAATGATGGTTGGTCATTTTACAATGCATAGATCGACATCGACTCGACAGATTAACGCACGCCTTCTGTGATTCTGATGGATCAGGTGGTGGCGCTATCTTAGAGGGCTAACACCCTGCACGTGCCCATATGTCGACTGCTTCAAAGGCACGCTAGTTAACAAATGTGAACCTGCGCTTGATTTTTAAGGATGCCGGTCAGAAGAGGACACGTTGCACCCCACAATACATTTATAGATACTATTATTAGAAAATTCGACAACTTGAGTAAGTATTCCTTTACATTGTGGTTTCATTGTTGGTAGGGTGTGTTTACTTCGTTGCTACGAGACGGTGCGGTGTTAATAGGATCGCGATTCACTTTACAACGACTTGGCTTTTATACGAACAATAATATGCGCATTGTCCACTTGTAAAAAAATTGTTTTTTTCTCTGCTAAATCGTATAAAATATGAATTATATTAATATCATTATTATTTCTGCGTATTTTATATTCGAGAGTGTGTGAATGTGTAGATTAGTGAATTCTCTTTGGTTGATCTTTTGTTTATAGAGTATACTGAAAAATGTCGTAACGCAGGTGACGCGAGACATTGCGGCGATTGTGACCCAGTCGAACACGTGACCAACTCGGCATCTATCCAACATTTCACCACTCCGAACCAATTTTAAACATACTTCGTAAGCAGCCAGCTTTATTGTTCTGCATTCTACATGCTATATAGCGAGTACAAGAGCGCATGATAATTACCATATGTAATAATACCAAGACCTACAAACAGTTTTACTATTACGACAAAATACTCTGTATTTTCGTATAGTTTCATTTTTCTCATAAATTGATACACATATATAAAGTTAAATGGAAAAAAACATATATTTGATTATACTTTTTGTCATTTTAAAAGCGATATTATCATGGAAATTTTCAGTTTATTATTAAAAATATCAAATTATGTTGCTGTTTATTAAGATATAATGACGAAAAGTAAACGAATACATGTTATTTCAGTCAACAACTTTGATTATCTTAACAACACTTTCTATTACACTGATACTACCGGTCTCCATTAATTGGATCGATTTATTTTATAGTCGATATAGATTAAACATAAAATAGATCAATAGTCAATGATTGTAACTGTATAGAGGAACGAAATATGAAGTGAGATTTTCTAACAATGCAACATTCTTAGTGAACAAGTGGGCGTGACAGGAAAGGAATGCACACTCACTTTTGGCGCGTTGTCACGGTAACAGTCTCGACACGCATTGTCGTGGCTTGTACTGTGAATTGTTTCACGTTAGATTTCTCCGATATCTTACAGGATGTGCTGAATTTATATATATATATATATATATATTCTTATAAAGACAAACTTAGTTTTATGCTGTTAATTATCAATTATTGATTTATATTGGAACATCTAATCATAGTTCATCTCTAAATTGCAGCTTTTAACCCTTTTTTTTTAAACTTTTATCTAATTGCGGTGCTGTTGAAAATAGTTTCTCTCATCTCATTATTCATTGCTAAAACGGATTAATTAATAACACTAAGTGATTTATCCTAGTTAATTCATCTAGTTCACGTTATATTAAAACCCCGTATAAGTTTTTAATATCGTATAGACTCTTCACTTATCCTGACAAAACTTTGAAAAATGAACTTTTTCTCCTTTTTCTTTAGGTGAATCTATCAAAGAAGGGAACCGCCCTAATTTCAATGAAATTATAAATTTATTGTCCTTAGTGCACATGTTTCAATGAATTCTTTACAACTGATTTTTTATCTGTAAAGTTCTTAACTCTGTGTCTTTTATGACTAACTCTTTATTGCCAGCGCATTAAATTGTACAGTACATCTATACGATCCTAGCTACCGAATAAAATATATATTTTTTTCTTCTTTAAAACTTTTACAATCCTTAACAGTTTGAGATCGTAAAAAAAAATATTTATTAATTATTTTTAATATTAATTTTACACGTATAAGATGTGTAACGATATCCGTGTTTACACGTTTTATAAAATTGATTAGACCGCTAGATATTTACGAGGAAATTGTAAGAAATTATTTACGATAAAGAGTATTATGTAAACACGATGCTTGTCTTAATGGCGACAAACTTTTCTTCGTTTTAATTATCATTTAAGATAATTAAAGAAAAAATAATAAGTTTACAAAATATTCTAATAAGAGTTAATAAACATATTTAAAGAAACAATAACAACAAAATTCATTAATATATAATAATTTAAAATAAAGTATTATAGTAAAAATTTATTTAGGGCTGTGGATAATCAATTATGTTTCTCTATAAACCTAAACAGGTAGGTCTTATTTGCAACAATTTTATTAACTAAGTACGAAGAAATAAAATGCAGAATTGCTATTCTATTTCAACAAAGATCTGTTTTGATCTATTCGAAGTACTTGTATTGAGAATGCTATTCATTTAACAAAGGAGACACCAAGATTATTTCTTGTCTTTCATTTTACCAATGATATTTATTAATTCTGTATTCTAATGTTAGGGAATTTTCTTATATAGTGGAAATTTCAGTTTTATAAAACTAACTCCTATATATGCTAAATAGGATTAATTCTTCTTCTATTCGTTCTTAGACTAAATTGTTTTTTTTTTTTTTTTCCTTTCTTAAATCTGGATAAAATTTGTCATTCTGTGATCAAGAGTTTGTCAATAATTTTTATTTATTCGGAAAGAGTTGCATTAATTTAATCGATATTTGAGGGAAAAAAATAGTACTTTCAGTTAATATATTTAAGACGTTTCAATTCAAATTATTTAAACATTAATAAAAATTTAATAATAAAAGTTATAGAATAATTTATAGTTTATCAATATTTATTATTTAAATAACGAGTTTAGTAGGTTAACATTCGATGAAAGCTAAACTAGAGGACAAACTGGTGATATTTCGGTACTCTCCTTATGGTCCACGTTGTGTGGGTGGTTACAAAAATTGACTTTTCTCATCTTTGTTTTGTTTTTAACACGTCATTCAGACCACGGTTAATTATAATCTCAGGCTTTTATATTCTAACATCTGCCTAAAATCGAGACTAGTTTATTTCTATTAAATTACGAGCCGATGATTTATTTAAATTAATTAATTTTCGTGATAAATTTTTTTATTATTATAGTTTTTTATTATTTTTAATATACAAAATAAAAAAAAATTCTTAATGATTACGAAAAATTAAAATTTTATTAACACACATCTTAATTATACTATTAAATATTTTGTGTGTTTTTAATAGCCTTATAGAATATATAAAAATAATTTATAAAAGTTTTTTTTAAATTTATAATTTAAAAAATTTTCTTGGAAATGTTTTCTGAATATTTCATAT